CAAGCACACTCACATTCACACCTACGGACAATTTAGAATCACCAATTAACCTCAACATGTTTTTGGACTGTGTGGGAGGAAGCCGGAGAACCCACGCTGCACGGGGAGAACATGCAAACCCCATGCAGAAAGATCCCAGGCATCCTAACTGAACCGGGGATCTTCTAGCTGCGAGGCGATGGTGCTAACCACTGAGCAACCTTGCAGCCCCTTTACTCACTGATAAATAATGTTAATCCTCAGGTCCAGCTAGCCTTAAGTATTAAAGAGATGCTTAGCATATAATTAGAAAATTGCTGGGACTGTTGCACATTGTATTAAGTTGTTATTTACACCACATTGACAGCTGTTTATTTGTAAGAGAATTCAGTCATAAAGACACAATACAGTTTAATTTAATTTCTCAAACTCTTCATCAGCTCACTATGTAAAGTTAGTCATCAAATAAATCTTCTTACATAAGCCCCACCTTTTTATGTTGTTCATTTGTTTTTTATCTGGTAGTTGTTATGCTCTAGTAACATTTGCTTTGTTGCAGTCATTTCTTACAAAGGATTAAGTATCTATTAGCTCTTGTCTGTGTTGTGTGAAGTTTCTGTATATTCTTGTCTTTCACAGTCGCGGCCTCTGGGTCGCGCAGCTAACAAGGCAGACCAGCGTGTCAGCGAGCTGCAGGTCCTAATCGAGGAGCTCCAGTGGGACATGGAGAAGATCCGCCGGCGAGAGAACAGACTGAATGCACACTTAAGCGAGATACTTGAGAGGGTGAGGATGATGAGAATTAGCGTTGGAGTTTTTGTCAATAACTGTGTTATGTCAGTACATAATGTCTATTTGTTTATGTTGAATTGTACTGTAATGCTCCTTGTGCACCGCAGGTAAACAGCAAAGGTTATAAAGTGTGTGGGGAGGCCAGCAGTGTGTGTGGAACCATCACTATTAACAAGAGAAAGGTAGGATTTCTTTGCTTTATTTATAATTGTGGTAATTATCACAAAATGTGGTATAAAAATACTAAATCATTGTTTTATTTCTGTAGGTTTTTCGCATAGTTTACCTTTTGTACTGTTTCTTCTGTTTTTTTCTAAAACAGTTTGAGGAAATGAACAGTGAGTTGGAGGAGAACAGGGAACTGGCAGACAATCGCCTCATCGAGCTACAGAAGTTACAGCAGGATCTGCAAAATGTTCACCAGGAGAACAACAGCATGAAGGTACTTAGCTTTACCACAGCCTTGTTTTTAATTAGACCCCACTACCCTCATTAAATCAGAGGTCTTACCTGTCGTGTAACATGAGTTATCCGTGCACTTAAATTTAACGTCACGATTACATAGATTTATACTGCAAGCATATTTAAAGTGAGTGGGGTCACATGAGTGCAACAGACAAAAAAATATAACTTATCAAAAAAAACACTCTACATCATCGTACATTTTCCCTAAAAGTATTCCTTTTTCCAAACCAATTTCTACCTTCCATTCCTCTCAGGCGGAGCTGCTGAGTCGAGCTGAGGGCCTTGTAAAAGAATCTTCTGAGTATCGCTGTCTGCAGTCGCAGTTTTCTGTGCTCTACAATGAGTCTCTGATCCTCAAAGGTCAGTTAGATGAGACTCGTGCACGCCTCAACACTACAAGAACGGCGCGTCTACGACAGCTGGAGCACATGGAGGTAAGTTGCGTAAATGTGTGTTGGCCTCTGTCTGTATGTTTTCTTTGCTTTTTTCTTACTCATCTCCTCTGAGCGCAGAATGACGAGGTGGCTCTGCAGAGGAAGGTCCGTACAGAGGTGTTTCAGCTAGAGGACACACTGGCTCAAGTCAGGAAGGAGTATGAGATGTTGCGCATCGAATTTGAACAGACTCTTGCTGCGAACGAGCAAGCAGGTAACCAACTGAGATTTTGGAATCTAAAGTGACTGAGGTGCATGAATTGTGCTGAAAAGCCAGCAGAGCTTCGATTAACATCAGATCCCTGTTGATAGAAGCAGCTTGAAACTGCACACTCTTGTCCAAACCTTCATCTCTTCACTGCCTCCTCTTCATCTCAGGCCCGATCAACAGGGAGATGCGTCACCTGATCAGCACGCTGCAAACCCACAACCAGCAGATGAAAGGAGAGGTGGTGAAATACAAGATGAGACTGAGAGAGACACAAGCTGAGCTCAACCAGGTTGGTCCAAAAGGAGAAACTGTTTTCTGTTTAACATTCGTAAGGTCTTCACCGTGCTATGTGAAGTGCTATGAGATGACCTGTGTTGCGAATTGGCATGATCTAAATAAAACTGAACTTACATTACTCTGCCACTTCTCATCAGCAGAAGAGATAAAATAATTAGAGGTCACTGATACTAACACATTTGATAAACAGCACAGTCAAACTAAAAGACATCTGTTGCTTCTGTAGGTCCGCGCTTCAAAGGGCAACGCCATTCTCCAATCCCAGTCAAGCACAGAGATGGACGTGAAAGATGAGACGACCTCTCCATCCACCCCAGCTGTTTCTGGAGAACCTGTAGTCAAGACTGAGCCTGACAACGGCTCCTCCACACCCAGCAGCACAGGTAACCGACGACTAGTTAACTAACTCTAATAGCTAAGTTCAGCTTAGTTCTTTAAAAGACATAAATAACAAAAATCACTTTGTGCGAATAATGCATATTATCACACATCTGGACAGTCCTGATTGACCATTTTCCCTTTGCTTTGTTTCATCGTCCGTCTAAAGGTGCCTCAGTAAAAACAGAGCCTGGTACAGAGCCAGAGGCAACCATAAAGGAAGAGGAGAAGGAGGAGAAGAAGGAGAAGGATGAAAAGAAAGAAAAGGACATTATAAAGAAAGAGGAGAAAGATAGAGAACGGGAGAAAGAGAAGGAAAAGGAGAGAGAGAGGCCGACCCGAGGAGGTGGTGGGAGCAGCAGCGGCGTCATAAAGGAAGAGAAGGAGAAGCCGGGGAGCAGCAGCCAACCTGAGGACGCAGCCGGGGAACGCCTCTCTGTGGTTGGAGGGTCAAAGAGGAAGGAAATGGAGCAGCTGAAGATTGTCCGAGCAGAACTCAAGTTAGTCACATGAATGGTGGTTAATTGGAGCGTGTGTTAGCATGCATAAATCCACGAAATGATACAAATATAAACATTAAATGGGCACAATTACAATTCACAAGTTATGAAAATTAGCCTGTAGGGTTTACTGTGACTCATTTACAGTACTTTTTCTGTTGATCAATGAGCGTGGCCCCTGTCAGAATCGTGAATACATATTCTGTGTGCGTACTAACTTCCATGTTAATTATGCCTTAAGGTAGACAGGCAATCCACGCCTTTTTAGCACACAAACTACTTTGTGTAAACAGCTTTGCAGCCCATGTCAATGTGATTTATTGTCCTTATTATTCTTATTAAATAGTGGCAAATATAGTTGTTTAAAATATCAGAGATGTCATATCACTGAGACGTAACTCCGGACAAAATGAGAATTTAACATATATTTTTTGTCCCTTGATCAGATTTCAGAGTGCTTTATTACAATGTTACAAATCTGCTTCATTTATTGGAAGATAAATTCATTGGTGATATTTTTATACTTTTAAAAAAGTTATTCAAATATACTTTACATGCCACTGTTGCATAAGGGGATTGTTGAAACATGTTCAGTTTGTTGTTCTGTGTTTGTTAAAGTTGTGGTTTTTGTGGGTCACCTTCAGGCTGCAACATTTACAAAAACACTTAACATGTGAAAGATTCCAGCAGTCTTATGATCACTGTGAATCACCAGCACTAGCTCACAGTGAACAATAGACTCTTGTCTCAGTGTGTGGCAGGTAAACACAAAATGTCACAGAGAAAAGTTGCCTGAAACAGATACTTATTTCGGCTTTATTATTTTAGATGATGGGAATAGTTTTGTTAAAGCCCCTTACTGTGACTGTGCAGGAAAGCCCAGGAGTCCCAGAGGGAAATGAAGCTGCTGCTGGACATGTACCGCTCAGCACCCAAGGAGCAGAGAGACAAAGTCCAGCTCATGGCTGCAGAAAAGAAGTCGAAGTCGGAGGTGATTTACGCTGGCAAACACAGACACAGTAGACAAAGTTGTGGTAGGAGATCTGTTCAATCCAGGAGGACATTTCTAACATGTTATATGGATATTTGTGTTGGGTTTTCGCTGCAGATGTGTTCTTTTGGGCTGAACAAAATGTGGCCAGATGGAACAGTCTCCTGTAATTATTGCATTTTAGCATTCCCATAATAATACTGTGTTGATTCCAGGGAGAGGAGCTGCGGCAGAGGCTGAGGGAGCTGGAGGAGAGGGAGAGGAGGGAGGGCAAGAAAATGGCTGATGAAGAGGCTCTGAGGAAGATCCGCTCTGTGGAGGAGCAGATTGACATCCTCAACAAGAAGCTGTCTATAGCCAAACAGGTGTGTGAGCTGATCACTTTGTTTGCTTTCACCGAACCGTCAGCCTTTCGTTCTCTCACAGTCTTGACTCGATGCTCCGTCTGTAGGAGGAAGACGCACTGCTGAGCGAGATGGACGTGACGGGCCAGGCGTTTGAGGACATGCAGGAACAGAACATCCGCCTGATGCAGCAGCTCAGGGAAAAAGATGACGCCAACTTCAAGCTGATGAGCGAGCGAATCAAGTCCAACCAGATTCACAAGCTGCTGAAAGAAGAAAAGGAGGAGCTCGCCGACCAACTCCTCACCTTAAAAACTCAGGTAATCCACCAGATAACTCCACAAGGTTCGGTCTCCGAGAAGAAGTGCCTGTTCGCGTTAGTTCGTCATACTAAGAGTTCAGTTGAACGACTACTGTCTTCAATTATTTATGATTTTTTTTTTTTTCCAAGACACTGTGGACTAAACTCACCTAACCTTAAACTAATTTCATAAAATACACTTGTGAAATCTAATGCAATTCAATACAGAAGCTCTGCCATAGATTCAGCTTTTAAGAAGTGCATACATTTTCATGTTTTTGTTGACTGCATGTATATTAATGGGGTGGACAAAACACTAGGAACACCTTTTAAACATACGGCAGTCCAGTATACTGCCACCAACTGTGACCTTTTGTGCTGGATTGCGTTAGATTTCACAGATGTTCCTAATAAAGTTGCCAATAAGTGTATATTCAAGCTGTGTTAGTTTTCCAATGAATGCCTGCCAATGCTAAATACAGCTTCTGTGCTTTTGTTTATAAAGAAAAAAAAGTTGTACATGAGTTCTACATGGTGCCATTTCTACACATACAAGTCATTAACTGCTATAAATAGCACGCCCAATTTTCTCTTTGTTTAGTTTGTGTAGCTCTAATGCTTTTTTATGCCTCCGGCCACAGCAGTTGCCGGTGCATTATATTCTCAGGTTGTCCATCTCGTCCCTTTTTCATGAATGCAATATCTCAGGAATGCTTAGAGGGAATTTCTTCAAAGTATGTGCAAATGTTCACTTGGACTGATTAGAATTAGATGATTATTGGCCATTGTGACTTCACAAAACACATTTTTTGGGCTTAACTCATGGATTCACGCGCTAATTATGACAAAATTTCACACTTCCGCTTTCAACTTCTCATTTTTGGTTCTTGAAGATATTTCCCCTCTCATCCAAGAGGCTTCGTCACTGGGAGCAAAGACAACTCTTGTCATCTTCAATGACCAAAAAAGAGCAGTCCAGTTGCGTTTTACTGAAGTTCTTTGGACTACCATGACCTGGATATCTGAGAATCTACTTTTCTGGCAGTTATTCAACACTATAACTCAAGGACAGAGGATGAGATTGTGTTCGTATTTCACACTTCGTCAGATGCTGAATTGGTGGCACTCGTCTTATGCGCTCACCTTGAAACTGTGGTGACTCTATAGATCTTCTGTGTTGGCATGTTGAGGATGTGTGTGAAGCATTCACACTTTAGAATTTGTAGCTTTGTTGCAGCAACGTTCACATTTAAAGCTACTGTCACGGCTGCAAGTTTGTGTTTTATCTGTATTAGCTTTATTAGCCAAGCAAATGAACAAGTACAAGACATTTGACTGTTTAGCATTTAACGAAGTCTTCTCAGTCTTCACTACATATTTTATATGATTCTCGACAGACATGGATGTAAATAAAGTGTGACTGGTTGGGACAAGCATAAAGCTGCGACGTGGTAGTTCTAGTTTTGTTCTCAAAGCTTTAACGTAACTTTCTGGGACTGTGCCCATTTGCAGGTCGATGCCCAGCTGCAGGTGGTGAGGAAGCTGGAGGAGAAGGAACGCCTCCTGCAGGGGACCATCAGCACTGCAGAGAGAGAGTTGACGCTTCGAACACAAGCTCTGGATATGAACAAACGCAAGGTAACACGTTGATCAGTAATGATGAACTTCAGCTGCAGAGTAAACTGATTCCAAAAAGAATGTGCTGCTATTTAAGAAATTAAACTGTAATCACGTTTACACATGTGCGGCTAGGAAACCAGCAGTGCGAAACTTTTTTCTCCATCTTCTGGCAGTGAGAGTAATTACGCAAACGCTATTGATGTATGTCATTGCTGTCGATTCTAGACTACAGTTCTTTTTCTGAACGCTGAGTTCTTGTTTTTATGTGTAGCATTAGAACATTTTCTTGGATACATCCTGGGTTTTTTAGGCAGAAGCTTTGTCGTACCCAATTGCTACCATTGCTCTCCTCTTCAGCTTTGTCAAAGCAATCATTGCTGGTAAAAATAAAATGCATCACTACGATGTCCCTACAGATACCAGATTTAAAACTCTGGTACATTACAAAGCGCAAAGAGGTTCAGCTGGTGCTGATGGGCTTTACCAGCATCGCGTGAACTCATGTGCAAGGGCTTAAAAGTAACATTAACAAATAAAGACAACTCTGATCATCCTCCAGGCTCAGGACTCTGCGCTGCTGTCAGAGGAGGTGCGAACTCAGCTGGAGCAGGTTCAGCAGAGGCTCAACCTGGTCAGAGAGGAGGTCATTGAGAACAGCATCTCCAGGGAAAAGGAGTCCTTCAACGCCCGACGAGCACAGGTAACAACACATGTAGACACATATGAGCTCAAGCCACAAGTTTCAATCAACAGATATGATTTGAGTACACGAAAGCCATTTTTTAAAAAGGCTAAATATTTGTTTTCTGTTGCCGAAGATCGACTAAACACTTAGCTTACATGTGAACCGCATTTAATGCCGGAATTGTGTTTTTGTTTGTGACTATCATGGGGCTTGTTGGATGAGTCTTTTCGACAATTACACTGCATATTTTCTAACGCCTGATTGGATTTGTGGACCTGTGGATTCTTCCTTACTGTATCTGGACTGAATAGTTGTAGTCAGTTTCAATTTGGTTATCCTCAGCTGAAGGGGTGAAAAGTTCCACGTCACTAATCCTTTCTCTGTGCTGCTGAAGGTTTTCTTTTTTCCTAGTGTGCACAGATGATGGTGGGAAGCTTCAGTATCGATTGTTTAATAGCATCACATTCATGAAGTCCGTTTTTAGATCAAAATAAAATGTGGAAGACACACTCATTTTCCTTACAACTGTTAAAACTGTTTTGTCTTTCAGGAGGACATCTCCAAACTGAGGAGAAAGATCGAGAAGGCCAAGAAACCAGCTGAGAAAATCAGCAACGGAGACGAAATCCTAAATGAAGAAATTAATGACTACAAGGTAAGTTTTAGGGGTATGAAAAAATCTAAAGTCTTTAGCCATCCTGCTCCAAAGAGGTCGGATTGCGGAGCCAGGTACCACACACTATTATGGTCCAGGGTTTAGGTCAAGGGCTTCTGTCTTCTTGTCAGTGTGTTTAATTTTGCAAATGTGAACAATTCAAGTGTCACCAAATTAACTAATATGCTTCCATATTTAAGACCTGTCAGCTGTTTTGTGTGATTGTTGCATGCATAAGAGCACCAACATTCACATGTACTCTGAACAATAATTTGACATTTTTGGAAACACTTTTAGTTGCTCTCTTTCTGAGATTAGATGCTTAATGCCAATCTCAATTCTAAATCAATAGCCAGAGCCAGTTGTCTGTCAGCACGAAGCCTGAAGGCAGACAATCCTGGCTCCTTCCAGAGATGATGGAATCTACCTGTCAGTGCCTCACAAGCTCTTTGATTTACTGTTGTCATGTCAAAACAACAAATCAACATTAGACAGGGGATCATATGCAGGACTATTTCAGTATGTTTGCAAGGTAGCCGGTGGAGACTGCAGGAAGTTACTGATCTCAATCAAGAATAGTCCTTCACATAAACCCCTTGTAAAACAGAGATGTATTGTCTTTGCACAGATTTTGTTGACTTTGGACTGAGCCTGTGTTTTTTCAGTCTTTGTGCTCATCAAAGCTAACAATTTGCTGCTGCTAACTTTGTATTTACTGTAATGACACAATAGTGTTGTCAATTTACTCATCTAACTCTTAAATAACTCTATGAAAATGTCAAACTCTTCCTCTTGCTTGGAATGCTAGCACAAAAAAAACAAAACTATGTGATAAGAACACCTGAGGGGGGAAAATACAGGCATATCCAGTTCTATAAACATGATGTTGCACAGATAGCCTTCTGGCAAAATTGAAGAACAAAATCGTTGAGAGGTCTTAAAACTGTGTGTCTTGTAAGTGTGATCACACTCTCTTGACAAGAACAGAACAATTAAAATAATAAAACAGTGGGAAGACTACGTATTGCACGTTGTTTTCATGCCTACTCAGATTCCTTTAGCAGGAGCGTGCTCAGATTTTCCCAGATTTGTCCATAAACCTGCAAGTTAATATAACTATGATGAGTGAAGGTGCTTTGATGATCTGTGTGTCAGCTGCACTCTACGCTGGTTTGTTCTGTGAAGCGTTCTGGTTGAGCTTGGAGTCCAGTCTCTTATAATCACACGGTCTTGCAGCTGCCCTAGATTTTCACGTCCAGTCATTACCAACCACTCAGCCGAGGACAGAAATGGCTCTTCAGTTTATTGTTCAACCCATTCCCTCCCCCTTATCTCTCTTTCTCTCTGCCTCCCCCGCCCCCCCAGGCCCGTCTAACGTGTCCGTGCTGCAACTCTCGGGTGAAGGATGCCGTCCTGACAAAGTGCTTCCACGTCTTCTGCTTCGAGTGCGTCAAGACTCGCTACGACACCCGCCAGAGGAAGTGTCCCAAGTGCAACGCCGCCTTCGGAGCCAACGACTTCCATCGCATCTACATCGGCTGAGGCTGCCGTTCCCGCTGCGCAGCTCAGAGGGCGAGCAGGATGAGCAGTCGTACAAACGCTGCCTGGAGCGAGACTCAGCACCCAGCACTCATGCATTCCCCCTCCTCCGAACACTCCCCCACCCCCTCCTCTCGTCCTCATCCACCCGATGATTTCAGCTCTGTGGGGGCCGCAGAGATGCTCTGAATGGAACGCTTTAATTTTTTTTTTTTTTATAAACGGTGACTGAATCATCTCCCATCCAGTATCAGTACTACTTTCTGTATGTTTTCTTTGAATACTGGTGCAGAAAGGATGTTTGCATCACATACATGAGGCTTGTGTGCTCGTTTGAAACCAGTATACAGAGAAGAGAATAAGTACAATAGGGAAAACGGCATTCCTCCCAGTGTTGTGGATGTTTGTATAATGTCGGTGTGTATGTACATTATTGTTTTGTTTTTTTTAAACCTGGCCACTGTTGCACCAGACTGTCCTGAAATCATCTGGACTCGGTGCTGTATAGTTGCTGTCCTGCTAGTTATTAAACTGATAATCAAAAAGCTTCTGCCTCTTCTTAACTGTTTTCAAATGTTTATTGGATCATGTGAATGGCAGAAACAGTTGACCTGGGATATTAAACCACAAGTCCCAGTGTGCAAATCTCTGTTTATCCCTGTAGCAGAGCCCTTCCTCCTCCTCCTCCTCCTCCTCTTCCTCCTCCTTCCCGGAGATCCAGACGTGTTTGCACGCTGGAAACAGTCGTTAGAAACGCTGGGAGGAAGGGAGTGCCACACGGGAACGGTGACAAGAGAGGCTTTTTTTTTTTTTTTTTTTTTAAACTTGTTTAAAGGTTGTGCAACATAATCCATCACAGCAGAGCGTTTGGTGCAAGTTCACAGAGCAAACTTGCGCGCTGTGGAAGCTCAGAGCTGAAATAAGAGGCTTTAGGAGACTCGTGGTCAGATCAGCGTCACCGCCTTTCTGCCGGATCCTTAAAGCTGCAACAGAAAGGAAACTTTTGGACACATTTATATCCTTTTGTTTTTGTTTCTCCTCAGTAACTTTCCCGTTGATCTCTACCGCTGCTGGATCTAAGCCTTAAACGGTTTCTTACCAAATATAGCCTCCGTTAATGCTGGAGCGTCCTTGAGGAGCGCAGCGGTCCTGGATTTGGATATTTGCAACGCTGCCAAAGTTTATAATTAAATACTCAGATCACCTCGATTTAGCCGGTGCCTTTTGTGAACGGGCACTTTTGGTCCAATTTGCAAATTGGACAATTCAGGCGCGGTGTTTTAGAAGCGTATTACATTTTTTTTTTCTGCCTGCATGTTGATTTCTGTGGGCTCTTGTCTGCTCCCAACAGAAGCCATTTTTAAGTCTTTGATTTTTCCAGCCCTGTGTGTGACTCACTGAACACGAGCTGCTCAACCTGCTCCGGGCTGCAGCTCCAACCTGTGCGCAGACGTTTTGGCCACATTTTTTCCATTGTTCTCAAGCCTCCCTTGTTTTTCTTTGCGCGTCTGGCTGTGGACGCGGCGGATGCGCCATGGCTCGGTTTTTGCTGACTACCTACGTGTTGGCGGTGCTCGGCTTGGCGGCGGTGGGCTGGGCTGGAGCGGAGCAGGCCAAGGCGGAGAGCCCACCGGTGGTCACCCTGCGCACCGTGATCACGGGAACCTGCCAGGAGATCCAGCGGTACGCGGAGTCTGTGGTGGGAACCGGCGTGATGCGATCAGCCGCTGAGGTACAGAGAGGAGGTGCACCGGCCGGATAACACTCTTTTTTTTCTTTGCTTCCCTGCACCAGGAACTGGATTTACACTCAATTCCTTTCTTTAATTCTTAATATACTGTGGTCTAACTCCACTGCTTGTTCTGTCACTGTTCTTGATCAATGCTTAACTGTACCTGATTACTAATTTGCAGCTCCAACCCTGTCATCTCTCTCTCCATCTATCCCATCACCCCTCACATTCCTCTCCTGATGCCCCCTCAACTTGTTAATCTCCCTCCTGATCCCCTCATCTTCTCTGCCCTCGTTTCATGTCTTCTATATCCATGAACCCCCCTCCTCTCATTCATGCGCGCACACACTTCCACCCCGCTGTGGCTCCCTTCTCCTCAGAGTGCAGTGTTGTTTCTTGAGTCATTGCTTGGTCAGGACAACGTCTATACAATGGCCATGGTAAGATACTAAATGGGTGTTTTCCATCCTGCAACCCTGACATGGTCCCTTAAACAGAGTCCTCTCATGTAGGCTCAGTTTTAGCCCATGTCGCCAAGTAGTTAGTGCAGAAAGTAGGAGCATGAGTCTAGTTTGTGTGTGTGTGTGTGTGTGTGTTTAAATCCCCTGATGTTTGCATGCCAGGCCGCAATTCACTTGTGAGCTTGTGGAGATAAGATTTAGTGTATGTGCTGGCAAGCTGAGTTGAAATAGCTTGAATAGTTCACTGGTGGTGCGTCTGTATGCAAAATATAGGGTGTGTGCACAATCCGCAGAGGAAATCTGTCCTCAAGCTGCAAATTAAGCCTCACTCTGACTGAGTGTGGTTCTAAAAGATGCTGTTTCAAGTGAGAAAATAGGCAAATTTGACATTTACAGATGACATCTAGTCTAAGCAAGATAAAAGAACTGCACACTGCCTGCACTGACAGTCCCTACATGTGACAAAGCAACATTTCTTACAACATTCAACTGTTGCTTTAGAGTTTTTCCACATGTGTGCACTCTTCAAAGTTTCATCCTCACCTCAGCTTTGAAGCTTTAATATCATATCAATAAGTAAGAATCAAAGATGTGTTTTGATCAGTCCCCGCTGCAGCACCAAGCCAGCAGTAAATGATTAGTTGTGTTTTTACATTCACACACTGACGTGGAGCAACAGATGCTTGACACGCTACAGTCTCCACATACAGTATGTGCCAGTGTGTAACGCAACAGGTGCAGATAACACAGAACCTACTGGGCTACCCTTGACCTTGCTGGACAAGGCTGTGACTGTGTGGGGAGCTGCTGTACAGGAATAGAGAGGGGGTGCTGCCCACCTGTCACCCACATGCACAGCTGTTTGTCCAAGTCAACAATACAGCACATCACAAGGAGCACTTAGAGTCTGTAAGAGTTCCCTGTTGAATGTGAAGTGCTGCTGTAGATATCAGTGGTGCTTTGTGCACAACAGTGTTATAAATCATGCTGCACATTCTCCTCTCTGCATGATTATTTATCTGATCAGAATGCTGTCTCTCTTCTTTGCTTCGTTTGCACGATAACAAAGTAAAATATGTCTCCACCCTCTCCTCCTCCCCTCCATACCACCACAGTTTTTAGAGACGGTGATCCGATTCCTGGCTGAAGGAGCTGCCAGCGGCCTGAATGTCATCGCTGTTTACGTCACAGAGATCCTCAGGGTCACAGGATTCGACGGTGGGTACCAAGATGGTGTTTGGAGCCACTGAGCATTTGTGTTGTGTTGTGTGTGTCCTGCTTTCCCCCCTTGAAAATTGTCTGCTTGAGTAAGAGAGAGTGTGTGGCAATGAAAGTTAGTAAGTGCAAGTGAAAATATGCAGACTTGCCTCTCCCTCTGGGCAATTTGTCTGCCACTCCTCTTAAAGTGTGAGTGTTTACGTCTGCTGCTTCCTGTCCTAACACACAGGTATTCTCAAGCTTTAATCCACATGAAAATAGGTCTAATCTGGGCTTCTTTTCTCCACAGTTGCACTGACGTTGCCCCGCTTCACTCCGGAGGGCGTGACCGCCGTCGCCCAGTGGGGTCTGCTGGCCCTCATTGGCTACTGGGTGCTGACCATTGTCCTCCGTCTGCTGATCGGCGTGGTGAAGCAGGTGTTCTGGGTGGTGAAAACCGTCTTGTCGCTGTGGCTTTTCGGACTGATCGTGACAGACAAGCACGCCACTGCAGACGTCACGGCAGTTCGGCTGGCCGGCCTGGTGCTGGGATGCGTCATGTTGACTCTTCTCACGTCTGGCTCTGAAAAGTCTTTTGCAATGGAGGACCGAGTGAGCAGCCTGGAGGGCCGGCTGAAGGCAGTGGAGAAGAGGAAAGGGGAATAGTGATGAGAAAGGGTGGAGAAGAGTTTTAAAAAATGGACAAAGGTGATGGTTATGTAAGGCTATGAAAACAGTAACGGCAATGATTTCCTTATCTGTGTCAAAGTTTGGAAATAAAGTAATCTCTGGGATTTTTAATTGGAAATGTTCTTTTTATTTGCCTCCAGAAAATGCAAAAAGAAGAAGAAAAAAATCAAACCACATGAAATACATTTACTTTGATAAATATTTGAAATCACTGACACAAAAAGGTATAAATAGTTGTAATAGGAAGACTAGCACACAGATGAGAGGAAACAATCCCACAAGTTAGATCATTTCAAGCAAAGTTTTACTCAGTTCTTCAGTTAAAACCAGACTAAGTGTCTACAAACAATGGTCTAAAACTAATATATATACAAAATACCCAACAACGTTTTGAGGTAAAAGCTTATCGGCTAACAAGCTCCAAATGCAGATGTAAACATGAGCATTTAGAAGGTGTTACGACAGTTAAAGTATAATGACAACTGATGGGAATTTCATTGGTTTTTCCAATATTGAGTCATAAACTAAAGTACTGGATGGATTTTTGACACGGTGGCCTCAAATTGAAACATTATTGGAGTTATTAGACTACATTCTCTAGAAACCTTGAATCTGCTGTTTTGATTTAAAAAATAAATACATTTAATAAAAAAATAAAAAAAACTTTGACCTGTTGGTGGCCTGAGAGGAAAAGTCAGGGGCTTCAAAAGTGGAGTCAGGTTTATCGTCTGAAAACCATTTATCTGCCTGGACTTCATTTTGTGGCAGTTAATTCAATACATCATTTGTTCTGGACCAAAGTAGTCGACTGGTCACTGTGAAGCCGTGCCAAAAGCATGAGTAAAACTTGTGGGTGGATGGCATCTTGGATTACATCATCAAAAAAGCACTGAAAGTATCTTGCTGTATCATATTCAAGGTCTTAATTTCTACTCACCGCAGCAAAGTGTGTTCAGCCCTCCGTGCCTGATCATTACTGCTGCTCGGTCAGCTGGAGGCTTTTAACTGATCCTCCGGGTTCACCAACAATCATCACTCCGACTGTCACACCAGCTGAGTGGAACAACCTGACCTCAGTGCCAAAATTACCATTCCTGCTGGCTCACCCCACAGCAGCAAAACTCACTTCCCTCCTACACTGTGCTGCGGTGGCGAGCCAAGTGGGCCAGAAATGAACCCACGGTGAAACCAACTGCGAGGTTTCATTGTGTCACCGCCTCCCTGCATCACCACAAACAAAAGAGAGCGAGGATGGTGTGATGCTACAGAGTGATTATTTAATAAAAACCTGAATATAAATACAAAATACATAATATTAGAAGCTGTGTGGAGCCTTACATTTAGATCAGAAGTTACAGGTATAACTTGTACTAATGAAAAATATAACCCAGTGTTTCAGTTCCTGTCAGCTCTACAGAGGTTGTTATTTACATTTTCCATCCCACAACTTTACTGCCTTAGCTCATTCTCACTGCTCTCAGTAGTTTTGCCCACAGCAGGAAGCCGTGTCATGGAAAAAGCAGTAAAAACCAAGCGAGGGACTAACTGGCGAACACATGTGGAGGATGCAGTATCTGAAGAGCCGACTGTGTTCTCGAGCTTAAAGGAGACCGAATATTTGTCTCACATTGACAGCGTGGGCAAAAGAAAAAAAAAAAAAACTTAAATTTTGCTGCAGGTTCATTAAATGTGCAAATGAAGAACTCTCTGCTGACAAGTTCACCATAGCAACTTAATATAGGTCATCATAGTGCTTCCGCTGCCCCCAAATGGCCAAAAAAACAAGCCCAGATAAACCAAACATGAACAGGAAGACACACTTTGTTTTATTCCATTATCACTCTTACCATAAATTTCACAGCTTTAAATTGCCTGGAAGTTAAATTCACAGTTGAGCAGATTAAAAATGACTTTTAAGTTTTTGTTGTATTTTGGCATACATTCTGTAGCTTTTATAGCGTTTTTGTTCTTAATTTCAACAGATATATGAGCTTTCCAGGCAGATAAAGTGATTTTAGTGTGACTGTATCATTATCTAACCATAGACACAAACTGCCTACAATTTAATCTCATCATAAATGACCAATTATGTCATTAAAATGCTCAGCGGTCATATTTTTATTCCTCCAGATTACTCAAACTTTCTGCGTAAATAGCAGGTAGTTATCAAACTTGCACAAAAACACTGAACTGACCCATTAATGGGTTTGTGTGCCGTTATGAAAACCAGAGTGTGGTTCAGTGCTGAAATGAGGAGTCATCTGAGATCTTCACAGTTGAGTTACAGGTTTTAGTTTATATGTTGTTTCTAATAATAGTTTAAATACAAGCTGCAGTGCGTGTGATAACAGTGTCACATAAAGCAGGAGGCGGTGAAGTCATTCAGGATCACTGACACTTAGAAATGTGTTAACAGAATACCGGTTTTTGTTGGGCACGACAAACAGATTTGTAGCTCAGTTGTTTTCCCTTTTCAACACACAAAAGGATCTGTCGCATGTTCGCTTCTGCTCTGCTGAACGTCTTCTGTAAACCAGTTGGTGTGTAAAGAGGAATTTATATGCATGGTTTAGCTTTTGGCTCTGTGGTGACGCGATGCTTAAATGTATGTGAAGAAATGACAAACGCACACAAACAATATTGTAATGTGTTAGTAGCTTTAATGCACTTGACACAAAGCCAAAATACTCTACGACACATGCACAAGATGCTTTGGAAATATTTTACAGCTTCTTGATGTTCTCCAAAAGGCTCCAGTTAGTGCAAAAACCAACTCTACCACGTTAGCACAACAGTGAACTATGGCATCTACTCCAAAGCACCAAAATATGAACAAATGAAATGAATACATCTGAAATTTGTGGATGATAATATGTAAGTATTAACTACTGAAGCTCTGAATACGGCTCTACTACTTTAAGTGTGAATGTCAGTTTATAACATTGCTCTCAGCATAAAAACTTTGAGTATTGAAAGAGTCGCGTTGAGTTAGAAGTTGTAATGTAAAAGTAATGCACTTATGGCGCACTGCTGATGTGAGCTCAGCGAAGAGGTGTTGAGGTGTTTGAATGCCACACGCCATTGAAAATATGCATGAGGAAAAGGCAAAAGGTGCTTGTGATAGTTTTGTACAATCATTACAACACAACTTAAAAACATTTACACGTATATACAGTACACACAACAAAGCTATTCTATTCTATTCTATTCTTCTCTACAGAGGAGTCCAAAAGTGTGAGACCACAACAAAATCTGTCATATTTTTATGAAAACCTGAAAATAATTTGCAACTTTGAGGAGTTAGAAACATTTAAAAAACAATAAGTTCTGACACGTAACACGAAAAAGATTCTTCAGTATTTCTAGGTTAACATTCAAACTTCTTCATACAAAAGGTCAGACATCCTTGAGCTGCGTTTTTCCACAGAAGTAACATTTTGGTGACACTCAGGAGGATTTGATTGACTCATTTGAGGCTTGTTCAGGTAGATAAACTTGCATTCTTCGCCTGTTATAAATATGGCTTAAGTATACAGCACAGCATCACTCACTAAACAGCATTGTGACAGTAGACAGTGTCAGAAATCTAATTGTTATTCTGAGCAAAGAGGAGCTTTCAAACCATGACTGGACTGAAGGTAGGTTTCTAAAGTGGCAGTGTATGGCTCTCTATAATGGCTCGAAGAATCGGATCGGATGTATCCAAAGCACCGAAAGACAGAACAAAAGTGAGCACATCTTCAAAAGATGAATACATCAAGCTTCCTTCAACATCCATCCATCCATTATCTATACACTGCTTAATCCTCACTAGGGTCGCGGGGCTGACTCAGGGTGAAGGCAGGGGACACCCTGGACAGGTCACCAGTCTATCACAGGGCTACACTTAGAGACAGACAACCAAGAACATTCACATTCACACCTACAGACAATTTGGTATCACCAATTAACCTCAACATGTTTTTGGACCATGTGAAAGTTCCTGAGTGACCTCACCGGGACACAAACCGGCAACCTTCTAGCTGCGAGGCAACGGTGCTAACCATCGATCCACCTTGCAGACCGCTTCCTTCAACAGCAAATACAAAAAAAACTTCATCCCTGATATGTAGAATTTGCTGAAAAAGAAACGCGAAATTCCCATCAGCAACAGTCACATTACAAAAAGGCTGTTAGGTTCTCTAAACCACCTTTCAAGAGGTGGGCAAGGCCAAACACTTGAAGTGGGCTTAGACACAGCAGCATTTCACTGTGGATGACTCCAAAACATAACATTTACTAATGAATCCCATTCAGAGGTTAGTGGTAGCAACAGAAGGGTATACAGCAGTGGCGGCTGGTGAAAATTTTTGGTGGGGGGGTGACCTTTTATTGAATTTCCCTTCTGGGATGAATAAAGTATTTTTCATTCATTTCATTATTTTAAATCAGAAATTAGAATATGAGTCATATCAGGCACAACTATTTCCAGGAATGCAAATTTTCTCCATTTGAAGGATGTTCTAATCATAATGTAATTTACCAAAAATGACTTTAAAAATAATAAACTAGGGCGTTCTAATGTCAAATCTGTCCAAGATGAAAGCGAGTTCCATGTATTCTACACACAGTCTTTTCTATGAGCGGAAAAACAGCGAATGCAGGTGCGTTTCGTTTTTCACGAGATGACCTCATTTTTAATTGGAAATACCGCAGTACAGTGAAGTTATAAAAGTAGTACTTTCCACCACTGTTGAGAAGAGAGAATGATGCCACAGTGAAACCTGCACTGAATCAACTCCACCGTGATCAAGGAGAAGCAGCACTCTATTCTTCAGAGACATTCTTTGCCTTCTGCTTTACATCTTTGTGGAGATGCAGGATGATCAGCCATCTGAGAGCTCTAAAGAACCATGCACTCATGGACTTTCCTCTACAGTCACCTGATCTTAACCCCACTGTACATTTATGGTTGCACAAAAACATCACAAGAGTCTCACATCACGCTGGGACAACACAGGTCACCAGGTTTTGCACAAACTCCTGGAGTTCATGCAGCTCGAGCGCTGCTGTCACTGAAGCAACAGGGATGCAAACAAACATCATTCAGAGATTCAGCTTTTTACTTAAATTGCTGAGGTGATATTATATAATCTGATACAAATGTAAAAAAAAGAAGTGCATTTCATAGGTGGTCTCACACTTTTGGAGTGTCGTGTGTGTGTGTGTGTGTGTGTGTGTGTGTGTGTGTCTTGCCTGAGCAGCACAAAGTGCTTGAATTTTACCTGACTAATCTATATATTTATTCAAATGTACATTAGAATCCACGTTCAGCTGTATGATACAAGCTTCAAATATTACATCTGCTCTATGAGACACAAGCTGAATTGACCAAAGCGAGTACAATGAGTATGTTTTTTGAATACATGGCTTTGCAGAGAAAGGATATGTTTGTTCATTCCTTGAGAACTCTCACAGTCGATCTGGTCTGCAATAAATGATGCATTACTACAGGAATAATAACAATATGCACTTAGTAGCCTGATGACCTTATTGACCTATTTTTAACTGAGACTCATGAGGTAGGAAATTATTGTAAATAACGTTGGCATTGTCAATTAGAATAAATGCTTTTGTTTTGTTTTTTTTGTTAATAGATGGCTTTAAACATGTGATCTTTGGGTATACATTTAACTTTTGAAAGCTAAAGTTAGTAGTAAAACAAACAAAAAAAAAAACTGGGACAGATACAGATGTAAAAAAATGTTCTCCATTTGATTCTTGGGTTGTTTTTTGTTTGTTTGTTTTTTACCACGTCATATGCGGAACATTGTGGAATGACCAATATGTGGGAGAAAAGAGAGATGTGTCTTTTAAACTGTATAAATGTTAAAGAAGCAGTTTAGTATTTTGGGAAATACTTTCTTGGTCTGTGTGGCCAAAATGAAGATACAGCAGCTAGTTCACTAAAATTGAACTCTAGAAACAGGAAAACAGCTTGGCTCTGTACAGAGATAACTCTGCTTGTCACTAAAATATTTCTTCAATGGATAAAACTACAAAGTGTAGAAACATTATTTTACTAGTGGTTATATGTTGGACTGTTTCTTGGCTTGGACCAGTTGCCAGGCAACCAGCATCCTCTCCAGGCAGCTACTGCTGAATAAGCGTATTTCCCAAAATGTCAAACTATCCCTTATAAGTCACATTGCCGAATATCTTTGAAACTTTGAGGGTACCTTGCAAAGACCAAGGCTATCAGAGGAAGTTGAGTTTGTCTGAGTTGTAAACGTTACTTTGTGTTGCATCTGAACCGAGAGGAGCAGCAGCGTCAAAGTCCATCCCCCTCACTTCAAACCGCGGCCCAGAGTCAGAAGAAAGAGGAACGGTTACAGCATGTTGAGGCTCGGACGAAGCTATAGCCTGCAAGGAAACAGACAGACATGTCACTGTGTATCACAGCAATTAGATCTGTAATATAGAAATTAGCTGCAGCTGTTAAAAAGGTTCAATATGGAGAATACGCATGTCAGTTTGATCAATAGTATTACAGTTACTATAAGGAATCTGCACATTTAGTGAATGAACAAAATCTACTGATGTCAATTCACTACAACTCAATACAACAAGGATTTGTCATGCTTTCTAGTGCAGCTCACACATGTGATGCGGCTCAACAACACAGCACCCATAAAAACTAGGACCTCAAAAACTAACACCGACCCTTCTCATAAGCGTCACAGGTCGGGGCCACGTCAGACTGAATAAATTATGTTAATCAGTGAGAACTGATCAGCGTCTGAGATACCACATTAATAATTAGCATTATGGCCATGTCTGATGAGGTCACCTTTGAACACTAAGATCTAATCTTGGGTCCAAGTAAAGACAAACCAAAGACAAAACTGGTTCAAAACTAATTAGATAAATAAAAGAAATAGTTACACCCACATTCAAATGCAGTTTATGGCAGAAAGGGATCATTGATGAGGCTTTTGCCAGAAGAAAAAATGGAGAATTGTATTTGAATACACAACAAATACCTTCATATAAGATCCCTAGACGTTGCATGGTGGTTCATCTTTGTTATTATTCTGAAGAAAATGTAACTTAACGCCTATGTGGTCAAAATAATATTAACAGCAATTCAAAAAGATACTACGAGGAAACGCTATCCTCTAATTTAAGTAACAATGACAATACTATAAGAAATAACAATCTGGTCGGTGCATCGAAGTTAAAAAATAGTATTTCATTTATCATGTCTGTTCATGTGTGTGCTCAGATTGCTATGGGCAGCAGTTCTTACCTCAGAATAAGCAGGTGGCACAAAGTCAGTAAGAGGATTCTGTATCTGCAGAATAAAACAGCATATATTAGCAGTGGAGAGGTTCGAGACCAAACTTAACTCCAGTTTTGAGTCAGTAAAAGAGGAGACACACTACCTCAGAATAAGCAGGTGGCAAGAAGTCAAAAGGAGGATTGTGTATCTGCAGAATAAAACAACATGTATTAGCAGTGGAGAGGTAACAGACTAAACTTCACTCCAGTTTAGAGCCAGTAAAAGAAGAGACATTCTCTCTGTGATGTGCAACACACACTAACCAGCGGGGCAGTCGGGGCATAAGAAGGTTGAGCGGGGCGCTGCATCCCAGACGGCTCATGGAGTTGGTTCTGCCTCGCTCCAGTAGGCTCGTGATCGTACTGTGGTTTGAATTAAAAAGATGACTTTTTACCACGACTGTACAGGCACACACATACACCGCTGAAAAGCTTCGGTGTAGAACATGCTCACCTCTTGGACACGCACAGCCGGTTCATTTTCATTATCGTTATTGTCTTCATCAGCTGCAGCCTCAGAGCGTTCCTTGTCTGAGGAGCTTTTTCCACAGCAGCAGCACCTTATGCAGCAGGTGCAAAGCGCCGAAATAAGAACACCGCCACCAATTCCGAGGTACGATTGCTCAAAAGGTTCAGCTGAAACAATGACACCATTAATCAGTAAGATTAGCGGCAGCAAGTGTAGCATCAGCAGTCGTGCTAATTGATTGACCTTGTAATTTGTAAGCATGTCAACTATTAACTGCTTTGCCTCTGCAAACAATGCACAACAGAAGTGATTACACTCTTAATCACTTAAATGTCGAATAACTGACATTTAGGTCATCTCAATAATTGAGGAGATTAAGTATTTCCTTTTATGAACATTGTAATACAAACTTCAGAGTCACTATATTGAAAATACAGGCCCCAAAGTAGAAACTCAGTGCAAAAAAATGTAATACATCTGTGATCACTGACACATATCTGCTTTCTAATCAGCCAGGTTGCATAACCACGGCTATAAAATGCCCTGAGCTGGCTCTGTTTTGGAACAACAGTTTGTGTCTGTCTGCATGTTTGCATCATGCCGCCACATGGAAAATTGAATTGTCAGAGGAATTGAACAAAAATTAAATTATAACTATTCACAAAGACGGGAAAAAAGATACAGGAAGATCTGCAATCAACTAAAAATCAGTGTTGCTTTAGTGATAAGGAGGTACAGAACGAGCCATAGTACCACCAGCAGAATCAGAGCCGCCACAGTGGTCGACCTCCTCAAATGACGCCATGGACTGTGAGATAGTTGCACAGCCTTGCTATGAAAAACATATGGGCAAGTACTTCAGACTCGGCCCAGGGGCTATGAGTGAAAATGTGAGTTTCTGTGACAGCTCATCCAGTGTTCTAATCACTTCATGCCACCTTCTGTGTACAGGCGTCCAAGAGAAACGTTTTTGCTTGCTGGACAGTACAAAACTGAAAGAATAAACTTTTCTAAACAACATGAAAAGAAACTTGAAGAATATTGGGAGCATTAGGTGAGGTGAGACCAAGATTATGCTCAGATGACGTCCAGCATGTTTGAAAGTAAGCCTCAGCAAGACTACCACAGTGAGGGCATAGTCCTGACAGTGAAGTACAGGGGTTGGAGTGCATCAATATGGGGCTGTGTTAGAGTACAAGGTGTTCGGGGAAGTGACATTTATAGATGGCTGTGGACACACAAAAGTTTGGATACAAATACGAAAATACTGGCTGTAAAAAAAGATGCCTCCCAGTTTGCAGAAGCTTGGCAGAAGATGAATTTTCCAGTGTTATGACATTTAAAAGCACACTGCCAAAATCACGCAAAAGTTTCTAAAGAAGAAAAAGTGACTTAGTGTAGGCCACTGAATGATTTGTGAGCACAATTTCCCACAATTTTATTACAGTTATAAGATTATTCAAAAATGCACTATTCCCAGGTAGTAGATTATAGTAAATAGAACTGGTATGTGTTTGAGATCAGAAAAAGTTGCTAATGGGTTTAACATTACATATTAGGGGCTAAGTGGAAACTATATTATACAGCTTCTTGGTAGTACGAGACCTTGCAAAGCCACTTTGAATAAACCAAAGGTAAGAATTTAAAAAAGAAGGTAAAACTAAGACATTTTATGATAAAGTGATAACTCAATAATGCATGACACTTGTAAAACATACAGGTTACTTACGGTCCATGTCCACTTTAACCACCCAAACCTTATTGTCATCCTGATCTCTGATCTCAAAGTATCCATGGCATGACGATTGGAGGTACTCTTGTAAAATCCCACATGGCTTTAGAAACTCAAACCCAGTGCAGTCCGAACTGTCTTGTTGAAGCCAGCCATTGCGAACAATCTCAGTCTCATAGCTTCCTCCTGGGAAGAAGTAAATGTTGCAGGAGTCCGGGTCCAGACTAGAGATGATCTTCAGGGACTGACCAACACTACGTGAATAGTGTTCAGTGAATGCTGGTAGAGAGGATATAAAACAGACTATCAGCCAAAAAATTATTTACATTCCAAACACTCAACCTGTACAGTCTATGATTTGGATCTTGATTTGATAGATAAAAGGGGGAATTCTAAATGTTGGCAAATATGCTAATGCAGGGTACAGCCCACTTAGCCTGGTGCAAAAAGTGGATATAAGAGAAAACAGTAAACCTGGCTATGTCCAAAGGCAACACATTCCACCCAGAAGTACCTAGGTGGCATAACCACACATAAATGCTTGTTATTGTTCAGGAAAATAATAAAACAAAACAAGAAAGAGCATGTCGATCAACCCTTGGAACTAAAAAAACGGCCAGTGGGTATGAAAAGCATGTTTTCTTTAAAAAAAAAAAAAAAGCCAAAACTTCACCATTTATTCAAGCAAGAAACTGTAAAAACTAAAAGAATTGCCATTTTTTTTTAAACTTTCTGACTGTCTGTGAATATATCACGTATGGCATTCCTATCTGTCAGGAACAACAGCAAAAAATGTCCTAAAATTGCAACGTTTAATCAGAATCACTTTATTCTACATACTCTGCAAAATCACTTTATCCTATACATCTATGAAGAAATTGCTAAATGTAAACTGTTTGCACCAATCAGATTCTGCAACTAAACGTAATGCTTCTTGGCACAACTGAAAAAAAATGACTGACTCAGCAGCAACAAAAAGTCAATTGACAACAATTCTGAGATTTTTCAGTTGAATTGCCAGTTGTGCTTACAAGGGGGAAAGGGTGAGTGTGGCTCAAAAGCAGTATAAGGTACACAGTGAAGCAAGTGGTCAGCAAGTTGTTGGAAGATACATTCAGCATGATGAAATATCTTTGCAGAGTTGATGTGGACAGCAGTGTGAAAAACACCCGGTCTGCAGAGGTTGGAAAAATATAAATGCACCCAGAAAAAATAGCCGATCTCGATCATGTGGAGCCCCTTTTTTCCAGCACTGGTAAAACCTGTGGGCATTTGAAAAAATGTCGGACATGTGGATTCCAGGGTTTTATAATTTTTACAAAAAATGCAAAAAAATCAAACTTTTGTTTTGTCTGAGTTTGTTGTGTTAATGTATTATCACTGTGTCATACTGCACAAAAATCATTTTTCAGTTCTCTCTACCTCTAGCCAGAGACTAAGACATCTATCCATTATCTATACACCACTTAATCCTCACTAGGGTCGCGTGGCGCCGGAGTCTATCCCAGCCAACTCAGGGTGAAGGCAGGGGACACCCTGGACAGGTCACCAGTCTATCACAGGGCTACACTTAGAGACAGACAACCAAGCACACTCACATTCACACCTACAGACAATTTAGAATCACCAATTAACCTCAACATGTTTTTGGACTGTGTGGGAGGAAGCTGGAGAACCCAGAGAGAACCCACGCTGCATGGGGAGAACATGCAGAAAGATCCCGGGTGTCCTCACCGGGACGTGAACCAGCGAACTTTTAGCTGCGAGGCAACGGTGCTAACCACCTTGCAGTCCAAGACTTCATCTTCCATGGAACTAAAAAAAAAATGTTTTGATGCTCAGTATCTTGGCTGGCTTGTTTAAAAGCAGGAATAGGACAAAAGTTTAAATTATATTGTAAAAACATAACAAAACCTGTCGTTTAAAAAGCCAGTTAGCCTTAGTTTTAATGTATATAACGAATAATTAATTTATTACAATATCTTCATGGTACAAAAGGACACAAAGATTTAGAAAAAAAACAAGAACACATTAAATGCTTTAAAAAATAAAGAGCTGTATCATAATGTTTTCTACAAAAGCTCTGTGTGAATTATTAATACTCAGCACAAAATTAATAAAATTAGGGATCTGTAACTGATACAAAACTTTACAGTAGGGATTGACCAATTATTAAGTCATTTTTCATGGTGATATTTTAGATTACTGGCGTTCTTTTTTTTTTTTTTTTGGCCTTTTTGCCTTTATTTGACAGGACAGTAGAGAGAGACAGGAAAGTGGGGAGAAGAATGAGGGACTTGCAGCAAATGGCCATGGGCCGGATTCAAACCCACAACTGCTGTGTCGGGGACTATAGCCCCTGTACATGGGTCGCCAGCTCAACCAGTTGAGCTATAGCAGCGGCCTGAGATTACTGGCATTCTTAATCACCAATGCGCAACTTTGGCTATCACTCAGCAGCTCGCTCTCTCTGCAGTCACTCTGATCTCACGAAGCGTCCCGCCCACAGCGCTATCTGATTGGCTGCATGTCACAGTAACAGCCAATCAATGAAAGCTATTCTTTATGCAGAGCGACAGAGGGCCTATTTGCAGAGGCAGCAGACACTGCTGGAGGCCTGATTAACTTTAACAATCTGCTCTGACTGACAGACACGTCTCTCTGGCACAGAGAAAACCAGCATTCCAAGAGGGTCCTTGGTGGTCGGACCCTAAAAAACTAAGTATAGTCACCGCTACAAATCGCAACGGCTACACTGGCTAAGTTAGGAGGCAGCCACAGATGATCCTGAAACAGAGTCTGCATAATGCATTGAGACGTGAAAGCGAAAGAACGGTGAAAGATTAAGAACACAGACAGGAACAGCAGACAGAACTGCAGAAGACAAACTGGTATTAATGTCAGTCGATCATAGCGTGAGCATCATAGCTTCACATCACGCTAAAATGTCGTCACTCTTGTACATATTCAGTAAGAAGTCTATTGATGAATGACAGGTTCCCTGCTTCTACATGCTGTTAATATATAGTATTTAAAGTGTATATGTATCAATTCAGTAATATTAATCCCTTTTAAAGACGTAGTCTAGTTATGAATGACATGTTCTCTGCTATTACCTGCTATTACCATTTCATGCATATGTGGATAAATTCAGCAACAGTCATTTTTATCAATGAAAAAATCTAGTTATACATGCTGTCACATGCTGTTAATAAATGACTTTTGATGTGTATCAATTCCAGATATTGGTTATTGACTGTTTTCGATTATCTGCTGAGGTAAATCCTTTTATCGTGATGTATTTTTCACGTACATTGCCCAGCCCTACTTTGAACTGATGTGGGAGTACCTGGAGAAATGGATTTAAATTTCTGGGATCCAACAGTGCAAACTATTGCACCACCTAAATGCTTACAACCAGACCAGCCGTAGTGTCCAAAAAAAACGAAAAGGAAATCAGATAAAGTGAAAGCTTACCTACAACCTCAAGGTTATCCGTCGACAGCAGCACCCGATTCACGTCTCTTTGTACGTAGCTGCCACTGTCTTTTTGTGTAAGATTACTTATCACAAGTTCACCGCGAATCACCTTCCGCCTATCGTTCTTCATGAGGTAGCCACGATTCCACACGACACTCTTGACATACCTGCCCTTGGGGGTGAACTCCATGGTAGAAACCTTGTCCCGCAGCGGTATCCTGTATGTCTTCCCATAGTTTAACTGATCAATGCTAATTGAGAGGCCTAGAGGAAAAAGTCCAGCAGAGAGAAACCTTAAGCATGCATGTTGACATTTCCAGACATTTTTCAAAACCATTTGAACAAGCATCTACCATTTATCATTTATCATAAATCAATTAGGTAACTGTTTTGTATGAATTGCAAAAGCACAGTGCAAAAACACTTTGTTGGGAATCCTAATCAGAAATAAAAGTATTTAAGTACTTTTAGCTAAATGCACTTGACCCCTTGCAGAAAATTGTAGAGCTCCTGTTGCATCAAAAAGCAAAGGTCCAGCGAAAAACTAAATGCAACACCTCTGGATTAATTTACCTGCTTTGTGCCCTGGATTATAACCCATCCAGTGGTTGAATTGCCTTTAAAGAGCTTATTCAACTCATGTAAACACAATTTTCTATTTGCCAAACATTGACTGCAGGCCCGACGTTGTAACTAAGATGTCATTAGTGTATGAAAATGACTTCATTTGTGAGGGTTACATTTTACCCATCATAGTCTAGAGGATACTTGGAAAAATTACAATTTCTTTATTTTATAAATAAGACCCATCCGTCAGCTACACTCTAAATGAGCATATCAGACATACCAAACACATACCTACAACTTAAACAGTGAAAAAAATACAATGGCATTGCCTATAATCCTGAATTTTAGGCCTAATTGCACTATAAAGTGAAAACATTTCTTTAGTCACAGTTATTTGGTTATAAGAGACATAAAATTTTTACAAAGACACAATTTTGCTGTGACCAAGGACATACAAATCGTGCATTTGCATATTATGTCATAGCTTTACATACCTATGTAAATATATGTAAACATATGTAGATATCACTATTTAAAATCCAATAGGTCATAAATGCGCATATGTAAATTCATCGTGTCTTGATTTATTTTTATTGATTGATTGATTGATTGATTGATTGTCTTATTTGCCTTTTTGTATCTCTGTTCATGCCTTGTCTGTATCCAGCTGCTACAGGATGAAAATTCCACTGGTGAGGGATCAATAAAGTTATCTTATTATGACTGTCTGATCCAGATTAAGAACAGCTGCAGGTGGATATAAACTAGAAAACAACGACAACAAGCGTGCAGGCAGTTTTTGGCAGCCGGTCACTTTTTTTTTAGTCCCACAATTTGACTTCATAACTTGTGTGGACAAATTTTTACTTGACTAGTATAACAACAACAGAACAAATACAGCAAAAAAAAAAAAATCTTATAAGAGTACATTAAATTCTTCCAGAATATCCCACGTTGACCTTGTGCTGCTGTGCCTGTCATCTGTATCTCTTGTAAATAACAACAGCTAGTAAGTAAGTGTAGTGAAGCATGAGTATTTTCCTCTGAATAGTAAAGTAGGAGTGTAAATTGGTGTAAATTGGAAATCAATTAAGTAAAAAAAAAAAAAAAAGTGTATAAATACTAGAGTACAGGTACTTCTGCCTCTGATCGACTACCACAGATGTACTGGGATATTAACTGGCTCACTTGAGGTCGTAGTTGTACAAGCTGTGTGAATAAATCATTGGGTTTTGTTTTACACTTACCTACACTAACACAGGCGCCCAGCAACAGCAACAATATCATCATGTGTCCGGTCTCACTAACAAAAGCCCAGCGTGAACCAGAGCGGCTCAAAATATGCTTTAAAGCTCGTCAAGTCTTTGCTTCTGACTTGTTCCAGCCTACAAACTCTTCAAAACACGCAGAGTATCAGAAAAAAAGACTTGTTCGGAGGATATATTCCACTGCAAACCGTGAATAATGGCGTTACGTGGACAGAGGAAAGGAAGCTGTCGGTGCTCCCCAGAAAGGGCGTTTCCTTGACGGAAATCATGGTGCGTTTACTGTCTGCACGGAAAACACGGCGGTTGGAATACCCGTGAACTGCTTGATTTTAAACTTCAATCTCTTTCTAATTTTATTTATGTATTTATTTAAAAACAATTTTCTGTTTGTTTTTTTGTTTGTTTGTTTTGGTTTGAAATATTTTACCTGTTTTTTTTTTTAATTACAGAAAATAAGTAGTAAATTCACAGGAAAACGATCAAATTTTATGCGTAAAACAAAAATAAGCCAAAACAGGGAATATTGTCCGTATCAAAAAATCTCTATTGGTATAAATAGTAATTCGTTCTTTAACAATGTTTGACCATACAGTCGTACTTTTTTTTTCTTTTAATCGTATTTAAACTAACAAAAACTGTCATTATTTTAGAGATATTTTTGCAATACTTGAAAAACAATGTGGTTTTATTAAGGATTTTTTTTTTAAAAGGATTAAATTGTTACATGATAATGATATAAGAAGATATGATACTGATTTAAGTCAGGATGCTAATGTGTCAGTGGAGTGGGGTAATAGCAGATTACACATATTTGGGATTATGTAATTAGATTACAAAATAAAACAATATAATCAGGCCAGATTACATCTGAGAAAATGTGCTATCAGATTATAGTTACATAGTCAAGTTTTTCTTGTTTACATTCAGATTAAATCTTTATATTATGGCTATTTTAAAACAATGAGGCTTTTTTTTCTTGATAGCAAATGCGTTTAACTAAGATAAGATAAACTTTACTGCTTCCTTTGCAGGTGAGTTCACATGTTGCAGCAGCTGGATGCAGGTATGGCAGAAAGAAGCACAAGAGTTACAGAGTACAACAGGGCTAAAAAAAAACAAAGATATAAATATATAAATATAAAACTAATTATGATTTATAGATATAGGAGTTTTTATTCCCTTTCATTTATATTGCTTATAGAAGACAATCATCCTCTCAAGTGGCTAGAGCATGTCCTCTATTTAAAAAGCACCAAAGAAAGAGCATCCAGCATGCTGCAGAACACACACAGTAAACCCTTGTGGTTTCCGTCGGTACTGTTTTAGTCGGGTTAATTTAAATTTGAACAACTGTAAATGCTGAGTCTGCAAAATACATCTGATTAGCATTAATTCAGTGTCTGATCTGCATGTGATAGGATTCTGTAAAGTTCAGCTTCTCAGCAATGACTTCTTAAACAGTTGTTTCACAGATTTTTACACAGGAAATCAGTTTACTCACCACAAGGAGTAGCTGTGAGTAAACAGCTCCTCTGGATCAGAGGAGGGTCGATGCGTTCGGTGAAGCCTGGAACCTGGTAGCCCACGAGTGTCCAAACTACTTCAGATGAGGACCTTCTCTTCAGTTCAACAGCTCAGTCACACATTCACGTTACAGACGACAGACCTGCTGAAGCCACGTCTGTCTGTTCTAGAAATCACATCTTAAATAATATCTTTCCTGTAAACGGTTGGAGCTACGCCAAGACTGTAACCTGGGGGTTGTGGAAACTGAAAGATGTTGGTATTTATCAGACTGAGAGGGCCTTGCTAAATCATAGAAAAAGTAGAATCTAGTGTTTCTGCAGTTTAACTGATGCTGAGGATTAAAAGTCAGTTTATGTTGATGTCTGTTCTCTTTTAAATCTGTCCCAATGTGCCTCCCAATTTTACAGAGCTTGTTCCTCAGAGAACAATGTTCATTGTGAAAATATGTTTTCAGCAACTTTAATAAAAGAAAAAGCCAGATAAAGCCACTTAGAACATTTCATTTATCCACTATAAACACCTGCTTCTGCAGGCTCATGTATGTAACAATAATGTAGCGCTGCCGAAGCTACAGTCGCATCCATACTGGAAAATACTAATCAGGTTAACTCTTCTAAAACACAAACTATAGTACATGATCATTCCAGTGTGGATTCTAGTAAGCTGCTTTTCTGGGATTTAATACAGTCCAATAAGTGGATCAGTTAAGTTTTCAAAAATCAAGAGAAAGTCTCATCGTATATCATAATTTGACATTTATTTTTAAAATCTCATGATCAAAACATGTTTCTTCAGGCAGCAACAGGACTTCAATAAAACATGCAGTGTAAACAGGATTCAGAAGAAAAAAACACATAAAAATCAAGTAGCGTTACAATGCAGGATATTGTTTTTTTTTGTTTTGTTTTAATTAACAAAATAATAGCACACACCATAACGCAAAACATAATGCTTAAAGACTTGTGATATATGGAGCTGAAAGGTCATGACAGAGACATGAAACAACCTATAAAATAGTTGATAACAATAAGGAAAGCTGCTAACGTGTTCCTACTGTGCTATCCTTGGCAACAGGACAAAGGCAAAGCAAACATTAATATGTGCACATTATACATTCAAATTACTGTCCAAGTTTATGGCAAATGCACATATATGCCAGAGTGTACAATCCTGAGTGAGAGTTATTTTCTCTTACCTGAGGAACAGAGGGGAAAAACATTTAAAATATTTAAATCTGATTGATGAAATGGATGGACTGAACTTACACTCCACTGCGTTGTCCTCAACTACAACCTTAAATGTAATCTACAACGTAAAAAAGAGAAATCTGTTTAAAAAAATAATTAAAAAAAATCTGGCAGCAAGGGCCTTAAAAAAAAACTTAAAGCAAACTTTTAAAAAAAATGTGGAATACCATTATGTCAAAAATCTGTGAAAATAACAGCAACTAGCTGTAAAATAATAATTCTCAGCTTTTTAAAATGTAAAACTATAAAACAGTGTGAGTTTACATTGAGGTTAAAAAAAAGATTTTTGATGTAATATCATGTAAAGTTTTGGATTTTTTTTTTAACTATATAGTTTTGAATTTAAATGATTTTTTGTGATTGTAAAAAAATCTGTAATACAACTTTTTTTTTTTTTTTTTTTTTAATACATGTTTTTTTTAAAGTTTTTTAAAAAGTGCTCTTTTAGTTCAGTTTTTCTGAGGTGTACACATCAGAGGGAGCTGAGTCTGAGCTCAGGAGTGGAGAAGAGGTCAAAAAGTTAGTCCTTTCAACTCAAAACGAAGATCTGAATCCAAGACGGCTGAAGGAGCTGGAGCTGATCCTCCTGGAGGAGCAACCTGGAGACAAAAGTGAGGCAAAGGTTGCGCAACAAGTTCCTTGATTTTTTTTGCATGTACAGAGAATTCTTGCTTGTTTGTTTGTGTATCTGCAGAGGAGAAGGTGTTATAAGTTCTGTAGCTATAAGGACAGTCTTCTTGTTTATTATTTCTAAGCAGATTTATGACTGGAATTTTGCAATGGACATAAAATAATATTTTTAGAAACTGTAAATCACATAGAACATATACGTTTTGACTCAGCAAAAGAGTGCAACTCCTGAGACACATTGCAGCAGTTTGTTAAGAATCAACTTCAAACAATACTCATGTGTCTATATAGATTATGAACCAAGTTTTATTTGACATAATAAGTCCTTCTGTTCATACCGGCAAGAACCAGACCGATACTGGATTTAACTGATTCTGTGGGTGTTGTTTGGAATTTATTCTAGAACATGTTTACGTTTACTCCAAATATTTCTTTTGGACGAGAGAAACTAAACTGACCAAGTATTCAACTGCCAGTTTTGTCATGGACTTGGATTCAGGAGAGCAGCAATCAGTGCACTGCAAAGACCATCAAAGTGGCACATCTTTAGCTGCTATATATATGATATTGTGCATTAAGATTCCAGCAACATATTTCACTAAATACTAGCAGTTAGCAGCTTCCTGTGAGGCCACCGCTTGACTTCACACCACCACAGACTCAAGTGTGATGTGTACTCTGCTACATGTGCTGCAGAAAGTGTTGATAGTATTGTAAACACTGGAGTCAAGAGCTTCTCTGCCGGACAGAAAATGTTCTCATATTGGTGCATACTGGATAACATATTTACTGACACGATTTATCTGTCATAGGCCACTATTGGCTAATAATATCATTCAGGCTCTAATAGTTGCCACCAAGAGATGCCCTTTTAATGTAATTTTAATGGAAGTGATGTTTGACAAAATTCCCAATCCTCATTATGTGCAAAAATAAATACATTCAATAATTTCACTGGAGCTGATTTGAGGTTTCATCAGTTGAGACAAGAGAAATAAAAGGGTATGTGTCATGTCACAGCCTTTTTCTGTACAAAACCGTAACAACATTGTAACTTTTTGCAAGGATTTTGAAGAGAACAAGCATTAGAACCATATTTCCTCATCACTTACACTGGAAACACATTATGAGGGAATCTGTTATGGCCATTAGGAACAGGAGGAGCAATTACAGCAAACACATATAGATGTGTGTGATGTTTTTAGATAGAACTGAAAAAGTGACAACGCATCCTTTAAAGTACTTCATTTGTCTGCAGCTGACTGTGTCGTTGAATCGGTCATATTAATGCACAAAACCACAGAAACTAACTAATATCTCTGCTTCATCTCTATTTCTCCTTCATCTGTCCAGTGCACAGCGAAATTTTAAGGCTTCTACATACCTGTCGCTCTCAAGGGGCAGCTGTGGGTTGATGAGAGACAGCTGAAGAAGACGGTACAGCTGAGTAACTTGGGTCTACAGGTTGACTCTCATCCTGTAATAGGAATAAGGATGTTGAAATTAATGTAGTAACGTATGTTAAAGCAGCAGCTCTGCATGCTCATTTGAAGAGATACTTACATGATAAGACACGGCAGGTGCTGCTGCAGTCTGAGGAGAAGACTT